GATCAATGAACACCCAAATCTGTGCCCACCTTTTAGACTCCACGGTTCTTCCTGCTTCATTATTTGCGCCAGAAACGTGGTGGCTACGTAAGCAGGATGAAAGCCAATCAACGTTATTGAACGCGCAGTCGAAAGGACGAAGCTAGGAGTATCCTGCTTCACACAAGTAAGGGATGGGGTCCGAAGCTCCGACCTGCGTCAGCGATCAAAAATCAAAATGCCATTCTGTACGCCAAACAGTCGAAGACAAGGTGGACCGGACACGTAATGTATATGAACGACAACCGATAGAGAAAGGTTTTACTGACTGCATTTCTCGGGCTGTCAAATATACTGCAGAAAGGATAACGACCCGATGGTCAGAGTTCTTCACAACAATCCTAAGAGAAAGGTATAATTCTTAACGAGTCCCTAGAGCGAGAAAACCCACTTAGCTACTCTCGCACGCGACAAAGAGAAATGGATGGTTACTCTAACACGCTCAAATCACTTAATGAACAATGAGACAACAGATCACATAAGTGACTTCAACTGATTTATTTGGCTCCAAAAACACCACTCATTTTTCAATTGGATTTCCTAAAGGTTGCACTTCGATGTTGTTGAAATCCATTCTTACCATATGGAAAACACACGGGGAAAAATCTTGGGCTAGATAGTTTTGTAATAGTTCCCAGGATCGACTTTCTCTTAACCTCGGCATTGGAATATGAATGTGTCGTTTTCTTGTTCAGCAATCGCGAGGTTTTTAAACAGCATACATTTACTTCCATAAAAACACAATACAATATAACGCTAGCTGACGTTTCGGCAGTATCGCCTTCTTCAGAGCCGCTTTTTCGTGACTTCCAATGAGGAAGTTTAGAACAGCTGATTATAGTCGCATGTGGTTGACGACTCAGAGTCGTGTTCTTGACTATCATTTCACTACGTTCACTGCCAGCCAAGTTTTGGGTTAGCAGTCATCGTCGTCGGAGTCGTCAGCCACATGCACCTATAATCAGCTGCTCTAAACTTCCTCATTGGAAGTCACGAAAAAGCGGCTCTGAAGAAGGCGATACTGCCGAAACGTCGGCTAGCGTTGTATTGTATTGTGTTTTTATGGAAGTAAATGTATGCTGTTTAAAAACCTCGGGATTGCTGAACTAGATAATTTTGCCAATTTTTCTAAGTGACTGTGTCACCGGTCTAGCTAGGAGATGTGGTGCCAAATGCGGTGCATAATGTTCATCACTATCTGTAAATTGTCTCAGTAATAAGCCAAATTTCTGGACTATTGTTTTTCTCCGCGCCACCACCTCCGTTAACCTCAACAGCAGAAGATACGAGCCGCTTACGCGGTTGACTCGTGCTAAACTCCCTGATGACCCAACCCGGATTTGGACTGGCCGCTGCCTGGTTGAACAATTTGCCGAAACCAATTCCAAGTGAGTGGTCCGTAGTAACCTTAAAACTTTGTTTCAGTTACTCATATTAATAACAAGGTCGAGATGTTACCGTGGTGTGATGCATGGTATATTATCAAACATAGCATAAATTATGAATAAATGAGTTTTCTAAAGTATTTCAACATGCGCATTACTCCCCGGAAAGGACAATGGCGCGTTCGCTCCCCACCATAGACACCTGCGGTCCAGAGTTTTGCAAATATCTCAGCAACGTTGCGGTTGTACTTCGCTTAGTACCCTGCCGCGAAATTATAGTAGGCATGAAATCTGATGTTTTAATAAGGACACCCACTATGAAGTTATTGTCGTGTCGGTTCTAATTTCAATCAATCCAATGACAAATATGTCGACTAATACGATGTGGTCCCACAATTACTGTCGACAAGTCGACCAAATAAACATCTAATAGAAAATCATGTTCTCTATTGCAAGTTTATTCTTTATGTGTTCTGATGGTGCTGAGCGCCCTACATTCATATCCCATCCTAGCCAGCGGGCACGCCAGCAAATACGGCAACTATAACTATCAAATACACAACCAGGTATAATACCAGGCACGACGCATTGCTTGGGACGAGACCTTGCCACCCGTGGCGTGACCCCGCGACCCACGCCACTCGCTCGGATCTAACCACGCCTCTCGACACACCCATTTGCCTTCTGACGGCTCCTTGGAGCTCGCCGCTGTCCCTCCCCTTCATTTTGTTTTCGCACTTAATATTCCTCCCTCAAAACTCCCTCCATTCGCGTGTGCGAAATTGTTGTGAACTAAAGTCTTAAATTCTTACATAATCAGCAAATTAAGGGTATCAGCAATTCACATATAATACGTGTTGTTGAGGTAACAATTATCCTAAATGCTCGCAGTGCTCACAGATTACTAATACTTATCACATTCTTGCACTGTGAGCACTTAAATCCTAACCTTGTTGTAGTCATAGCAATACAATATTTCCTAACTATATCTCATGCGCTCATCAACCTGCCGAATAACATTACGTGTCACTCGTGTCACTGTCATCTCATTAACAGTCGTTCCGAACTTCATCAAACGAAGACGACTACACGACGTATGTGGTCTACCAGAGGACAGTCACCAAGTATTGGTCGTCGAATTGCGAATACTACGCACTTGTCTACGAAGCCGACAAAACCAGATGTTCGCCAAGTGGAAGAAGTGCGAGACGAAGGAAAACTTTTGTGCTCAATATTTGGAGGACCACCTCTGGAGGAGAATAGTGGGCGGGTCAGTGTTGATTTGCAACTCTATTAGGTCTAATGCTAAAGTAACATTGCGGAGAAAATTCGAAGACCTTTTGAGTAAATCACATAACACAGCTTTAATAGCGCACAAAAATATCGCTGAAGAACATCAAACAGATCACATTAGGATAGGTAATGTGCAAGAAAATTGAATACTAACCGTGTTAGGAGGCATGACTCTCCCTGACGGCACACACTCGTTATTAGAATTGGGGCCGCGTTTCTCACCATTTGAACCCATTTCTAAGACAACCTTGCGTAGGGTCGCATGTCGTTCACATGAACTTCAAGATAGACTCCGCAAAAAAGCTAGAGATGAAGCGCTAAATAGGTGCGAACAACACCAAATGGGGGACCTACCAATAGCACCATTTCCTCCGCCGTTCTTTGGACAACAAGACCCCAATAATGAAGTTGACATTAATTTTCGGACGCTTGCGAATGAAACTCTCAAAGTCCTTAATCACTATCGCGCGAAAAGATACAGCTCCAACCTCACTCCAGTGCAAGAACGTGGTATGCGAGAGGTACGAGACCTGATAAGGTTGAAAAGGATAAGGCTATCCGTTAGTGATAACGGTGGAGAGTTTGTCGTAATTCCTCATCAGTTGAATGTGGAGATAACGAAAAGGCATCTTGAAGATGCTTCACTTTATCGCCCATCATCTGAGTATGAATTTTAAAAAACCGAAAATTGAACCACGAATGGTCCAAAATGGCAAGAGCTGCTGGTTTGAAACCATCAGTTATCTCTCAACTAAAAGTTGACTTACCAACATGCCCCGTCTTGTACTTGCTTATAAAACTCATAAGTTAGTATCCAGCGATGATCTTGCGTCTACCGATCCATCACTATTTAAGGTTAGACCTATCATTAGCTGCGTAGACGGGCCAACGGACAGGATAACACGGTTTTTAATCCTAATATTTAACCAGTTGTTGAAACACATTCCAGCCCATCTTACGAATACCCAGATGTTTCTGGATCGTCTACGTACTGTGCAGCCCAACAGCGCGTGCGTAATGAAGTCCTTCGACGTTACCGCCCTTTATACAAACGTGTCGAATGACTCTGCAAAGCAAGCCATATTCGAACTCCTTCTACAACACGAAAGAGAAGTAAATATGTACGGCTTTAAGATAGAGCAGTTGATAGCACTCTTAAAAGAATGCTTGAGCTGCTCAATCTTCAGATGGTCCGGAAAGTGCTACGATCAAATAAGAGGGTTAGCAATGGGACAACGACTGGCACCAAGCCTTGCTATTGCATTTATGTCTAGTTATGTCTAATACGAAGAATTACTTGATCAATGCCGACGTTAATAGAAAGTCGGTCGTGGGAGTTAAACAACTAGAGCTATGTTCCTTAACACTCTACTACTTAATGCCAACGCAAAAGTATTTTAAGCTTAAAATACACATGAAAATACAGTGGTTTTAACTAAGTAAACAAACATTCGATGGACACTGAGTTGTGATCAGTATCAGCCGACATATACGACGAAACGAAAAGATTTACCGGTACAGTATTAAGCTGTTCACCGAATTTCATGAGAATACCGTTTGAAAGTACCGGAGCGAGTAATTCGTTGAAAGAAGTGATAATGAATAACAACTAGAACAAGAAGTAAGCTCGAGTATCCCGTTAGAAGAGAATCAAACAAGAAGGTTAGAAAATTCATAGATGTTGGAATAGAAAGTATCACGGTCTTGGAGTACTCGACGATTGTTGTCTGACAAGGTCAACTTCCACTTCTGATGCGTCGTTGAAATCAGACTGCGACAATTCGTTGTCAGCATCGGAATCTGTAGAAGAGATTTCATTCCACCATGAACTTAATACTACTTCTGTTCTATTTCCATTAATATTCAAAAGGTAAGGATGTTACACTATAATACTGATGGTAACAAGTACAGGAAAAGTTACAAAATTCTGGTTTTACGTGCAGAAATAATCAATGAAGAATATAACAAAAGAGAAAAACCGACGATCGAGGAAATCAATGTCCTCAAATACATCTTCGCTGTGATCGTAAGTGCTTAGGGAATGCCGTAGAACCGGACGAACGGTTGGTATTTTTGACAAAGCAGCAGCCAAATCGGTAAAAGACGTTGAACGTTCTATCAGAGGTAGACGCTAAAACCACAATTATATTTGTATAAACAACGACAAGATAAATTCCTAATATTAATATTTACCCTTTGATAAACACAATTGTATCGTTTTCTTTTAAACTTTGGCTCCTATATTACAAGCACTTAGTTATGTCCGACTGAGAAGTTTGAATATCAACGTACTTTGTTCTTGCTAACTTGACGATGTAATCGATTGTGCGAAGCATCGCCAACTAGCAGTGAATGGAATGATTCTGTTTGCATAAGTTCTTCGATTTTCTTCCGAGCATATTCATAACCTATTGCCTGTAATGAAATGGAAAGATTTGCAATAGTTATGAGAGAATCTTTTAGATTTTTAAGAATAACATATAACTAGAAAAAAGCACTGGTTTTAGACATCTTTTTAAAAACTCACCAAGATTTCATCAAACTTGTTGAACTCAAGAGTTTTAAAAGGTTCGATAGCTGGTCGGAAGTAGCTGCAGTACGGCGCCTTCTTTACGATCTCCAACTGACGAACACAAGATACATAGGCCAACCGTGTCTATAGCAGAATAATAACAACGACGAATCATTAGCATTAAAACCCTCAGAATATTGGTCACCTGAATCTCTTCCATGTTTAGAATTCTCAACGGTTTAGCCCAGGGATTTAAGCGATTCATTAACACCCACGTGCCGCTCAAAGAATCGCCGTAATTATACAGGTTTGTTTCCTCGGAAGAACCAACATCGACAGCAATTACACATTTTGCGCCCATTGATCTGTATAGCAATATACAATAATGAACAATTAACGGTGGTTAAAAGAAAGGGCAAGCTCAACATAATGGTACCTCATTACATCTGCAGGCAAATTGTTGACGTAACCACCGTCAAGAAGTAGGTGCCCATCTAGTGGATCACACAATGGTGGCAGATAACCTGCAAGAGACATCGACGCACGACAATAAGCCCATAATGGACCGCTACGATGGACCCGCATTTCAGAAGTTCTAAACAAGTAATGATTACGAATAGACAAATGATATTCAATGTACAACTGTGAATAGTAAAGAGAACTTTTCTCTACTAATATGACAAGCTCTCAAAGTTCAACGAACATCTGTAAATGCCGCTGGCCCAGAAAGGCAATAAATTAAGCTTGACAATGACTTATCTTTTTAAAAGTATCACTAGTCACATGCATGACCATCTAATAGAAGAAAGAATGCGAAAAAACTAACGTGATATCAGTGCTAATGCAGAAGTATGGAATCCAAAGATTTTCAATCTCATTTTCTTCGAATAAGTCCTGCAATGTCTTATTCATCTGGGCGCCTGTGAATATAGCAGAATGGGCGTATGTTAGATCGAGCACTTTTCGCCAAAGACTTGTCATCCACTAAATTGAGAAAAAAGTGTGAAAAATAAATCATAGAAACACCAGCGAGCAATAGCTCTTGAAATTTTTGTAGACAGCAACTTGGAGAAAATTCAACAACAAAAATAAAATTTTTAATCATACATTAAACCACCGCCTAGTTCGCTTTTCCACTTTTGCATCTGGAGTGCCGGCGTAGACTGCCCCCACCAACGCTCCGATAGATGTACCACCAATAATGTCAATAGGAATACCTCTCTCCCTAAGAGCACGTAGAACTCCAACATGTGCAGCTCCTCTGAAAGAATCACAGATTTAACATCAGTTGTATCAATAAGATATCAATATCAGCTCTCGATTTCAGTGTGTTCGGGAATGAACTCAATGGTTCATGCCTCAACTCGGTTAAGACTGTTTCTGGATGACTTAACTGTGGCGCGTTATCGGGCCTTATCCCATATAATAGTCCCCGGAGCTTAAAAGAACTTAGTTTTTCTATCCTAATGCCCAGCTAATATTTGATCTAAGAGATGCCAGAGTTCTACGAGCCTCATGTGGTGATCCTATTCACCAAGAACATGAAGCTAAGGCATGAAGAACAAGCTCACCGATAGATCTTTCCTTGTTCTTTCTTCGACTCATGTAGGAATACAAATATTTTTTCGCGGTTTGCAGTAAAAATTGAAATCAATGCATACGCTCGGTTGTTCTCAGCAAAAAAAAGTTAAAAAAGCTCCTCGTCAGCTATAAGCCAGCGCGACGAAAAAGTCCATTCCAAACGGCATCTTAGCAAACCATTAAACGTACCACTTTCCATGGCCAAAACCTAGTATATCTTTGATGGGGATTTAGCCACGTGTACCGAAAAAAAAAAAGAAATGGCTCTGAAGTAAATGCATGAAACTAATGGGCACCAACTGTTAGTCCTAAAAGTGCGAACTGAGATCAACGCACATGCTCATAAACATGTTAAAGAAACAATATGCCATCCTTTGGATTTATCAAACAACTGAGATGCAGACTGAGGCTTAAAACTGCTAATGTTCAATTGATTGGAGTTCTTTTCTGTTAAACGAATATACCTTATTAGTGCGAAACACCAAAAAAGTATTCTGATATTTAAAGGCAAAGTCATACAAAGAGGAAACAGAAACATGCACTGTTATAACCTGATACCACCGAAAAGAAATTTAAAGCCGCTACCAGTCACACATGTCAATATTGTTAAAATAATACCTTGCACCTCCACCACCAAGAGCAAGACCGATTGCATTTCCAGTGAGGATACGAGCGATTCTCGCAAAGTCTGATCGAAAATCCACAGTCCAGAACACATTCTTCTCATAGAAGTCGACTATTTCGCGCTCATTATCCTGCATTTAAAAACACATAAGTTCATCCAGGGTGACATACGAGTATTCAAGAAAAACCCTGACTGGATAGACTTCTCTAGAAGACTTGCGCGTTTTTTTTGAAGACCACTGGAACATTCGTTTGGGGGCACGAATATGATGATGACCTATTGAAAGTATCGAATCAAACTGTGGAAAAAAAATCATCATTTTTTCAAACAATACAAACAGGAAACGACTTTTCATTTCTAAAAGAGAAACATAGAAGTTTCAACGTTTACCTGAATAATACGTGTCTTTCAGCCATTCATGCGTACCAGACGGAGACATTGTATTCTCTGGCCAAAGTAAAACAAGTTCCTTATTTGTACGTGCACCATCTTGATTGGTACTTAACAGCTCCCGCATCTATATTAATTAAGTCAAATTTAGTAATAAGAAATCCCATAATGCCCTTTGTCAACTGCAACTTGTAGCTTAAACAAAAAATTCAAAAGGAAAAGTAACACATAAACAATCATTTATTCTCTAAATAAAGAGAAGAAAGAAACGCATACCAACGTTTGATGATGAGGCTTCTTATTTCCCATTGCAACTACAAGAATAGCGTCAGCTTGCCGTAAACACCTAAACATTATACTGCGACAATGCGAACACGATCACGGTGAGAAGGAAGTTCAGAGATCCTAGTTATTTTCATTCAGCAGGACATTTCAGTGTAGTATAAGTTACGAAAAAAAACTCACAAAAAACATGAGCACCTAGACGATTTAGAGTGTCGCTGGTCATTTAGCTCAATTTCCTCAATTGCTTAATTCCATTTTATAAATACAGCGAACTTTAACCTCGCACTTACGACCTTCATGAAGACGATTTCTCAAACCACTGAACACCCATTAGACGTCACATGGAAATCATTCCTTTACCGTGATCGCTAGTGATTGCTAGCGAATCGTAGAATGGGCGAAACGTTTGACAGATGGACACATCGACAGCGAAGTGATAAACGGATGAAAAGAACAGTGGAGCGAACTCCAAGGGAGATGCATACAAGACCTAAGAGGTGGACGTCGACACAGATAGTTAACGAGCTATTCCTTAGAAATTTTCACAAAAACTATTCTATTCATATCTAAGATGGAAATGGAAATTAAGGGGCTGGCGAATATCTCTGGAAATACCAGGACCTGTTTTTGCAGATCATGAAATCGACGCCGCTTCTAGTGGTTAATGAAGGAATGGAGAAACGACGTATCCATCGTGTTTATGATCATGAATTGACTTATTATTTTGCCAATCGAAAAGGAAAAAAACATAGCTCCAGAAATAATTCCAAAACGATGGCCAGCGTCGACGAACTTGATCGTTCGGTTAAGAAAATCTCCTGGAGTGTCGTAAATGTGTGCTGCGTCGTGCTAATGTATTACTTCCAAAATAGTGAGTGTGTCACGATGTCCATTATATCCGTGATTAGGACATTTCGCCTTCGTAGGAGTAACGGAATTACCGAGTAAGATTGTTCAACAAATGACGTTAGCGACATTTTTATGGTAGTGGTCCTTTCCTAACCAGACTTACAACTTGCGTGTCATAGTCTAAAAATCCTCGTTTCTCTGGAAGTATAAAAGGTTTGGTGCCCGCATGGTGTTGTGGTGAAAGCGTTAGTCTCTAGAAAGAGTAACAGCATGTTCGATTGCCACCACAGACACCTGCGGCCCGGAGTTTTGCAAATATCTCAGCGTCGTTGCGCTTGTATGTCACATAACACCCTGTCGTGAAAAAATGCAGCAGGCAGTAAAAGTTAACAATTTAAAAAATTATGAACTATTTCTATAAGCTTAGTAAATCTTCAGATACTTAAATACTGCAGCTACTAAAAATCACCGGCATATACTGAAAAAACAGCTTCGCTACGAATGTCTAATGTAAGAGTCGGCTAGCAAACAGTAACAGTTAAACAATTAAACAAGAAGGAACAACTCAACTAATCAATACAGGTGAGAAGATTAGTTTTACAACAGTTTCTGGCAGTTTGCACGACGGTGTCGTGTCAGTCAGGATAGAAGCTTTGCATTGAGGTATTTTTTCCGGCATAACCGGTAAGGAATCGCCACAGAATTTCACACAAATGCAAAGGAATAAACCCTTATAAGAAGCCACAACGCTCGACATATGTGTTGTAGAAAGGCTATCTATTTAATGAAAATGCGTTACAGATAAACTTTCAGTGGCAAGAGAAACAACCAGTAACAAAGTGCATCGAGATAAGAATGCAATTTGCTAAAGATGGAATAACGTTTTGTTGGCGTATTGGATAACCAAGAAAACGTAAACAGACACCATATTTTTGAATAAGTACTTTAGAAGATGCAATAAAAGCAGCTTCCATTTTTCAACCTTCCTTTTCTACTTATTAGTATGGGTACTGACCATAAAACGAAGTATAACGACACGTTATTTTCACTTATGAAAAAATTTTGTCATACCTTCGCGTCCAGTTGGTCGCTGTATAGTCACATTCGTAAATAACAAGTGGACAAGTATCTTCTTGCACATTCAACCAATGCATTAAGCGAAAGTCAGCTTGCCTAAAACGAACGCACTCCCAAAGCTTCGGAACTCTTCCACGATATTTACTAGGAATAATAATCAACGTCTAAAACTGCAATATGAAAGTAGGCGATCTTTATAGAAATAAAAAATAAATAATGTAGACTTACAGAATGTAAACTTAACGGGATCGTGTAGCGTGGTAGTGGTCAGGGATGCTATGCAATACACGAGTAACCTTTAATTCGAACCCGCAACCTAGATCAACCAAGCTCTTGTCTCCTAGAGGTTAGCAACTTGGAACCAGATTTTCATAGTATACATAGAGAGTATAAGGACCGTTGAGCTGATCTACCGTTAGCTCCCAGCAAGTCATTATATAAACGAAGCATGCCGGATTGGTTACACATGTCCCATCACGCTCAGCGGATTGACTTACTCCGAATGCTGCATTTACGACTATCTAGCTAAGGAAGTCAACATGATGAATCACTTAGTTTCAGATGATTTACCGGCGCCTGCTCAAGTCACTCAACGAACAACAGCGATGATAGGTAATATAGGTGAAATCTTCCGACTCAGAAATCTGTCCTTTTTCATCCTTTCCTAACCTATATCTATTCCTTTTTCTTCAAATATATTTCTCCGGATTCTTTTTTGGTTTTCGGTCGTTTTTGCCACCTTGTATCGAAGTAATATTCACATCCTTTCTTGTACTGATGGAAAAAAAGCAGGTGTAATATTCTAGTAACTGTTCGAAACAGCGCAAAAATATTTCCAGCCTGAACGAACTGAAAACTCTCAAATTCTCGTCAACATCATTGTCGAATAAAGACAATGACTGAAGGTGAACCATAACAAACTGTCCGGAATCTAACAGAAATGTTACGAACATATGTTGAAACGATTTTCCATCAACTCAAACAATTGGAAATAACCACAATGCTTGATAAGTTGATTTGTGAATACCATATTGATTCATCCTGAAGTAAAAAGGGTTAAAGATAAACTATTCGACGTAAACCAACCCCTAAGAAGGAACCTTGCGTTCGATTTCATTGAGCTTCGTACAGGCGATTGAATGGACATCTGACCTCTGTACAGCGGCCAACCGACATGTTAACTCAGTGCTTTTATCCTCTTAGACAAGACTTGTACTAAATTACCAACACCTATGGGATGAAAGGCATGTTTTACCCGGGGTGAAAAGTCAAGCTAACGTACCTTTGTCTATTATGGGGCATCTTCAACCAATGTGCCACCCGCGCCCCATGCTGGATGTGTTAACAGAAATATGTTAGATTCTAGATGCTAAACAAGATAAAAACAGAACCATACTAGTTTTTCGAGAAGCTGTTGACCATGTGACTACCATTTAGATTCTCATCTTTCTGTATGTGTTATTGAAGCGTTTGACGTAGTAAATTGCATATCACTATGCCCTTCAAGGTCCTGAAGAAGACGATTCTGCCGAAACGTCAGCTATGATTGTGTTGTATGTGTGTTATTGTATGAAAGTAAACGTACGCTGTTTAACAACTCTGCGATTGCTGAGAAAGAAAACAATGCGTTTAGAACCATACTAGTACAAACAAAAGTAAAACAAACATTTAAGCCACAAAAACGGCACTTGAAAAGTGAAAGTAAATATTGTGCGTTGGAACGGTGCAATGAAACTAAAAGAAAAAAAAAACATACTTTTCCAATACGCTACTATCCAAATGTGCAGCGACCTTCTGGCTGCTCAGTCTGAGGACATTTAAATTTGCTGACAATGCATGGTACAACTCGCAGGTAAATGGTACCAATGGAACCGCTGCAGATGCAGGAACAACTGCTATGGTGTGTAAATTCTAAAGTAGAAGTTACATTATAAATATTTCGAAAAATACGGGGAATAAGCGGGAATAAAAACCTTTATGTGGTTCATTGGATCACCGGGCCCTTCCAGTGATGTAGCCGGTGGGTATGGCATACGCCGATGCAAACTGCTATAGTACTGGCCAAGTAGTTGCACCAAACGAAAGCCAACCTGCGAATCAATTTGCACTTCAAAAAATATAGTTCATGATGTTCTGACAAATAGTGACAAGCATAATACGCGTCTGGTTGGGTACACTCGATATGAAATAAAAACATATCTTATATAAGTAAACTAAACGTGTAGGAATATGCATTTCTCAATAGACAAACCTGCGGAAACTGAAGTTTTATGAAATTCAGTAAGCCTTCCGGAATGCGAGCCAGCTGTGAGAATCGCACTGCTAGAACAGTTGTAGCGCGTGGTTTCTTCTGCAGTACCTCCATCTAAACTGACAATATTGTCAGAAGAAGAACAAGTTTAAAATGTTTTAATGTTTAGACACATTTTGGAAACACTGTCAACCGAAACTTGAATCTACGACTAATGATGCACATGAATGTATACAAAGGCAGAGCGAACACTTAGTTCTACTAGATAATTAAGCCACGAACCATGCCAAGCACATCCCCTCGTCCAAACTCCTCTATTAACGTCTTTTTCTCTACAGAACGGAGACGACCACTCAGCATGACAAACATCGAGTCCGCTAGATCACCTTCTCTGAAAAACACAAAAATTTTTAACGACATAAAGAATTATATACCACTACCATAGTGTAGATACCTATAGACTGTCATCCCTGTGTCGACAAGCAACCAGTCGAGAGCGAAATCAACTGCGCGTAAGAAGGGAGACAGTCGACGAAGCACCGAATGTGCAACAGGTAAATAAATATGTGGACGAACATCTAGCAAACTGAATACAAGACACATACAATACCACTTCATTAGTAAGTTGGATAAATCCAGAACTAAGGACGGGATCTCGGTTTAACACATTGATAACGATGTCTAATACTCTATAACTAACTGAATGAGTCATATGTGGGTCATGTCGGCCTAAATCAACTACAAATAACCTTGTCTTTTTGTTGCACTTTTCGCTCTATATTCCGGCCTTTACATGCTCCTCATTGGTAACATCCATGTTTTCCAAATTTCACATAACCTCCATGTTCTTTTATGCACCTTCCCAAGCCCTTTGAACAGTCTTCCAATCCCTTTCAATATATAAAACCCTTGTGTGTGATGAAAAAAAGTCCATTATCCAACCACACTGCTGTACGCATTTCGGTTTTGCACGATATAAAACGTATACTTCGCAGCTTTTTCTATGTTTTTCATATCCACTGATTTCATATGTTGATTTTCAACCACCGTAGCCATTGAAAATGAAAGCGATTATTATATGAAGATTGACATGCTTGAATAACGCTAGTGGTAGATGAATTAAGCTTCATTCTCGACCGTTCAATGAGAATGAACCGAAGAAATCCCTTGCGCTAGCTGCAAACGAGAAATGTGAAATACATTACGGGAAGAATCGGCACATATGGATAAAAGTAGAATAAACAATACGAACCGACAAAAACTGTTGAACAGACTGCAAGATCCACATATATGTGATTCTCGCGCTCCTAAAGATCAGCTAAGACTAACCAGTGCCCAGGATCGACTTTCTCTTAACCTCGGCATTGGAATATGAATGTGTCGTTTTCTTGTTCAGCAATCGCGAGGTTTTTAAACAGCATACATTTACTTCCATAAAAACACAATACAATACAACGCTAGCTGACGTTTCGGCAGTATCGTCTTCTTCAGAGCCTGGAAGGGTATACTGATATACAATCTACTAGGCCAAACGCTTCAATAACACTTACACAAAGACGAATCAAACGAACAAAGACTTTGGTAATTACACGATCAACAACTTCTCGAAAAACCCACCGCTTTTGTGACTTCCAACGAGGAAGTTTAGAACAGCTGATTATAGTCGCATGTGGTTGACGACTGCACCATCGCACATCAAAGATCGATGCGAACGTACGGGATCAGGTCGCGTATGACCTCCGGGCATTCGTCCCTGCTATTCATTGTAGGGTTTTGGCATTGATCCAAAAAGCCTCTAAG